GCACACATCAGACTTCTCCTTCCTCTAATCCATGGTAGCTGAACATCTGTAAGATAGTAACAGTAGAAGTTCAATGAAACTTCCCCTTTTCATGAAGTCTGTGCAAAATAAAACGGAATACAATAATTTTGGCAAATACAGTTTTACAGTTTATCAACTTCAGAGAAACAAAGAACAAAAAACCACCAACTCAACTATTAAGTATCCTACTGCTTTCAAGAATCACTTTCCAGACCTTATGCACCTTCCCTAAAAGTTACTACTCTTAAAGAGGTGCTACAGATTTTGTTTTCAGTAGCTCTATCTAATCTTTCTTGATTACAAGATATAACAAAACTTCAAAATGTTGAGTACTCCAAGTGGTTGCACAAACTTTGTGGGATGAATACCACCACTAAGATGATCCTTCAAGGAGAAATATAAGGCTAGTTGCAATATGATATAAAATTTGCCCCTGGAGAGAAAAAAAAGTAAACAAAAGTCCAACCTTTTTGCAATTCTTGTCCACTTAAGTGGCTTCAAATTAAAACAACAACAACGTTTGAAATTTTGCAGCAAAATTAAGAGATTCTGCTTCCATATTTTTTCAGTCTCTCTCAGCTACACAAGAAGTAGATGGCTTCTCAGTACATCTTTACACGTGAAAGCTCAGCACTTGAAAGGCAAATGTAGCTAATTGCAATTCAGCTAATCAATAGAGAAAGATCCCTTTATCACCTTACTTAGCAACAATAAAATTGTCCTAGTTACTCTCAGTATCTTCTGACACTTTATGTTTTAAACTTCTTACTCTTAAGATTCCTTTAAAATAGAAAACTCTATTAAGTAAAACAGAAAATCCCATTAAAATAGAAAAGCCATTTTTTGGTCGTTGTTATTTGAAAACTATATTACTGGAATCAAAAATAATGAAATTTTTACCAGTTTTAAATTAAATGATCCGAAGGTTTGACTTAGTGGAAAATCTATCGACAAAATGAGCACTTTAAAATGTCATCGGATCTGCTGATCATTGATGCACAGGAACTTACTGGAGAAACCAAGACTGGAGGTAGCCTGGGCTGGAGCGATTATGTCCTGGTAGGATTCATGTTCTTGAGGAATTTAGTCTGGCCTAAAAATATAGTAAGGATCTCAGGGAGGCAAACTTTCAGCTGCTAAAGGTGGATACAGGACCTCCTGGGAGAATATCTCAGGAGATAAAGGAGCTGGCAGATACTGAAAGATATTTTTCTAAGAGCATAAGAACTTTTAATTGCTACATGCAGAAGATGAGGCAATGAAGGAACTGGCAGATAAAGTTGCTAAGCCATTATCCATCACCTTTCGTAAGTCAGGGGAAGTACCTGGTAAGTTGAAAACGGGAAACATAGCACCCATTTTTAAGAAGTGTAACTACAGATCATACATCATCACTCCAACGCTCAGTAAGATCATGAAGTAGATCTTCCTGGAAACCACGTCAAGGCATACAGAAGACAGGAAGGTGATTAGAGATGGCCAGCATAGCTTCAAAAAGGACAAATCATGCATGCCTAATTTGGTGGCCTTCTACGACAGTGACAGCACTGATGGATAAAGCGAAGAGCAACTGATGTCATCTTGATGTCAACTTTGATATGGGCCCACGTAACATTCTCATCTCCAAATTAGACAGACATGGATTTAACGGATGGACTATTGCATGGATAAATTGGCTGAATGGTCACATTCAAAGAGTTCTAGTCAATAGCTCGATGTCCACAGGCAGACTAATGATGAGTAGCGTCCCTCATGGGACAATCCATGAGGATTGATACTGTTTAATATCTCCATTGGTGACACGGACAGTGGGATCGAATGAACCCTCTGCAAGTTTGTGGGTGACGCCAAGCTGAGTGGTGTTGGTAATACCTTAGAGAGAAGGGATGCAATCTACAGGGACCTGGACAGACTTGAGAAATGGGCCCACATGAACCTCATGAAATTCAACAGGGACAAGTACAAGCTGCTGCATGTGAGCTGGTGCAATCTCAAATCAGTACAGAACGGATGAACATGCTAACAGTCCTGAAGAAAATTATGAGAGGGTACCGGTGGATGAAAATCTTCACGCAATTCGTGTTTGCAGCCCAGGAAGCCAATTTTATCCTGGGCTGCGTTAAAAGTAGAGAAACCAGATAAAGTGACATAACTGACTGTCTGATGCTCTCTACTCCACTGTTGTCAAACATCACCTGCAGGCACTATCTTCAGATCCAGGGGTGCCAACACAAGAGAGACACAGATCTGTTGGAGCAAGTCCAGAAGAGGATCACAAGGATGATCAGAGGGCTGAAACACCTCTTCTATGAGAAAAGGCTGTGAGAGTCCAGGCTGTTCAGTCTAGAAAAAAAGAAGGCTCTAGGGAAGTAATATATACCTTATTGCAGTCTTCCAGTACTCACGAGGGCTTTCAAGAAAGACAATAAGGGATGACTTATCAAGAAGTGTAGTGATATGACAAAGGTAATTGCTTTAAATTAAAAGAAGACAGATTTAGATTTGATGTAAGGAAGAAATTCTACACTATGAGACTGATAGATACTGGAACAGGTTGCCAGAAAAGTTGCAGATATTCCATCCCCAGAAGCGTGTAAGTTCAGGCTGGATGAGACAGTAGTGAGGATACAGTAAAATCTGATCTAGTGAAAGTTGTCCCTGCCCACTGCAACGGAGTTGGACTAGATGATCTTTCAGGTCCCTTTTAACCAAACCATTCTGTGTTTCTATGAAGACTGGCATAATGTATCCGTGGACATGCTCAAAACTGCTGATATTGTTTTGAGAGATCTCTGCAATAAATTGGCTTATTTTACAAATATCTTCTATAGACAATTTATTTGACAGTCTTCCAATACTGGCTTAACTAATGTCTATTCATTCCACACTGTAGACTCGATTACTGTAGTCCTGTATTGCCTTATTCAAGGCATCTTCAGAAATAAAGCAATTTAAATCACTGACATGGCTTGAAGGGTGGTACATTACCCTAGTAAATTGTAGGAATCTCGCAACCTATTCCCTTGAGTTTGCAGTAACAATGTGGAGCACTGTGTATAAAAACAAAAGTATACCAATATTTCACAGAATATATCTTCAGCAAAGAGACTGTGTCATTATAGTAAATAAAGGCTATGTTTCATCTTTATCATATTAAATGGATGCAGCATTCTGCTCAAGTACCGAACAGTGAAGTCAGAATCACAGGCTGTTTGAAATGGTAAACATTAAACAACTTACTAATGCATGAGGTTTTCAAGTAAATGTGCATACTCAAACATATTGTTTGTGTTATCTGCAGAACTATTTGGAGTTATTCATACATATCACTTTTGTAGACAAAAAGACCAAGTATGGATCAGCTGCTTTAAGTTGCTAGAATGAACAGCTTTTGTCATGGTAGAAGGCTTTAACCTGGCATAAATGAGAACTGCTCCCTAGAAGCCTGGCCCCTATTTTCTCTATGTCCCTCTCTTACTCTTCCCTTTGTGTTAGGAAAAAGTACAACACTGTTGCTAACTACATCAAAGTGTTGGATGCTAGGACAGCTCCTTTCAAGGCAAATGTTGCTTTACCATGGCTTAATCTAAAATGAGAAGGTTTTCACTCAAACTTTTTCACCAGCAAGTTAAAGAGACCATACTATGTTTGCTAGTATTACTGAATATTGTTCTTCTGGTAATATTCATCTGCACTCCAAATCAGTAAAATGAGAAATGAAACAGTTCTAGCTGTAAACAAGATGCAACTGAAAACTGTACAATAAGATTTTATTCTAGAAAAAAAATGCTGTTAGAAATTGATGGTGTAACACATACGTACAGTAGCCAATTTATTAACGTTTAAAAGATATTAACAAAGATGAAAAGTCATTAAATAATACATTGTTTTATACCACTACTAGTTGAATTATTTAAACTCTTTACCTAGTAATTTACCTATACCATCATACTATGAGTAATTTAGCATACTGTAGATCTCAGTTTAGAGAAACAGATTAACTTTTAGTTTTAAAAAAGCATTTAACAAAACATTTGTAAACAAAAGCTACTGCCAATATGTGTTTGATTCTGAGTATTTACATGGTCTGTGGCTGAAGTATTTTCAGTCTACTATATAAAAACAAAAAAAAAGAAAATCCCTTAAATACACGAAGTGCCCTCACACCTGTTTTGCATGTCTGGACTTCCAGAACTGTATCTGCCTGACCTGAATACTACTACTAGGTTGCGCAGCATTATCAAGCAACTTCTTTGAGCCATAGAGACTGCACATGAAGGTACTTTCACTTTAAATATTGTTCACCTCAAATCGCAAGACATGTTCTAGTAATAAACATATCAGCAAGGTCAAAGCAATAATTATTTAATTCACCTCACTACACCCTAATGACTACTGATTGTATAGTAGATAAAGAACCACTCATGTCCACTCTTTTCAAAGGATTACCTTCATTAAGCTGGCTCTTTACTGTCCAGAATAAAAATCCCTATAATCGATAAACTGAACCATGTCACAGCATGAAAAAGTAACCCATGTACCAGAGGAAGATGGCAAGAAACACATGTATAACTTGATTCTGCTTCCAAAATCTTGCTTGTACTTTACACTCACATGACACACTCATATTTTCATCCCTTTGGAAGAATTGGAAGGGGAATTAAAACTTGCATGTTTACACTTTAACAGTAAAGATCAAAATTCTAATCTGAGCTAAAAACACTTCTTCTAGAAAAGAGGCATTGGGATAACAGAATCCACCTCTCTGATACTACTATGCAAGAGAATAACAACTTCTTCAGAGCTAAATGAAATGCCTTCAGACAGAATTTGAACAAAAGTTATGTTGAAAGAAGTTGGTGGAATGCATTTCAACGAAACAAATTGAAAATCTTACAATATTAAATGTTCCACCACCAATTTGAAGGACATAAGCAGCAAAGTATGTGAAATAAGAGAGAATAGCGCTACTCATTTACCTAAGCAGCCAATTCCTCTCAGCAATTTAACAAGATTTTCTCCTTCAGTATTAAGCCACCAAAACACAAAGCCCCCTGATTTCTGTTAAAACAAACAAAAAAAAAAAAAAAAAAAAAAAAAAAGAGGATTTTTCAGACCAACAACAGCTTTTTACTCTTCATGCAACACTTTGGGACTTTGAGTCAATAAAAACAACCACAAATTACTTAAACACTACCACTGTCTATCCAGAATATGTTACAAAACAAGACAATGCAAATACTTAATTTTGGCTTCACATGTATCCTCATTTTAAAAAAGAAAAGCTAAAATATTACTGTATATTCTTACAGTGTCTCATATTTCACCTTCTGTAAGTAGTAAGAACTTCATACATCTACTAGCATAAGAAGGTAAATGTAAGCTTGACAGTATCACAGCGATACGCACTTTGTAATCTTACTATCTAAAGAAGGTGAACATTTTTCTAACCTATTTTTTTCAATTTTATTGAATTGTCTGCAATATTCTGTGAGTGTGTGTACATACACGCACGCACAGAGAAAGTAGTATCTACAAAGAGTTTACAAATATTTACATACATATGTTATACACATCAACTAGCATGACTGCATGATTTTCCATGTAAAAACCATACACATCTTTCTTGCACATGATAGCTGTTGCATTGGTCTTACAAAAGTAGTATAAACCTTTTGCAACAACTAGCTAAGCACATATCATAGCTGGTTCCAAGTTTTTATAGCTTGCAGGTTTCTTTAAAAAAAAAAAAAAATACAATACCTAGAACACTGTTATCAAACAAATATGCTTTATTGGCATCTAAAAACAAAATGCACCCAACATTAAAATGTACTTTTGCATTGTTTTTTAAACCCACTGCAGTACGAGGAACAAACCACAAAACACTTACTTTAGAGAAAACAGAGACTATAGTGTAGATTTTACAAAATCACTTTTAATCTCTGTGTTATGCTCCTTAAGTAACATGGGCCATTTCATTTTCTGCCAAATTGTAGGAACATAAAATATCACAGCTTTGTCTATACTTTAAAATTCTGCAGCAGCCTAAAAACACGGACAAGATACACCAGCACCTGTTTTCAAGTATAACAATTTCAATAGCCAACCTAGGGGTAGTATCTAAAAAATTCCACTGTCTTCCATAGGAAGTCTTTGTTTGACAAGCTGTTATTTTACCTTTATGAAATTAAAAGCAAGTGGGGGCAAGTTTATGTTTTACCAGAGAAATTAAAAAAAAAGTTTACCTACCATGTTCAAATTAAGAACAGTGTTCTATACAAGTCAGTTGTACAGTTATTTAAGTGAAAGATGAACATGAACATCAGATTAACTTAATTCTGGCAGACAAAAGTGAACTACTAAGGTCCAGTCAGCCATTTATCTATTACAGAGAGATGACAACTTTACAAAAGGTATCTTTTACCTACTGAGTGATGATTATGTCCCCTCAGTTTCTGTGCTTTCTACCACTGGTTCACTTTCTATATCAGCTTCTGTGTCACTCTTCTCTTTGTTTATCTCGACGGAAGATGTCAGTTTTTCATAAAGTTCTGGATCGTCCTGCACCTGTGCAGTTGGTGGTTGACTTTCTGTCTCTGTATTTTCACCGTTCACCTGGGGCAAATTATCCGCTTTGCGTTGGGAAGTGGCCCCATCAAAGTATTCAAAAACCCGTGGGTGTGGAGGGGGGATCCAGTTGTTTGACATTCTGTCTCTTCCAAACCTGTTTCCATTGATTTCTCTGCAGAAGTTAAAATCTCTGTCATCCCTGTCCCTCTGTCTTTCCCAGGGTCTTCTGCGGTCATCAAAATCTCTGTGAGCATCTTGTTCAAATCCTCTATTCCAGCTGGGACCACTTCTACTATCAAACCTATAGTTTACATGCCGAAATCTCTCTCTGTCCTCATGGAAGCCTTTAGGGCCACCATAAATAGGAAAGGCATGGTGCTCTCTTTCATCATAATCTCCTCTTTGTCCCCAGTGCTTATCTGAATTGAAAGCAAAATGCTCTCTTCGACCAAGATTATCTATACCTGGTCTTCCAAAATTTTCTCTCATGTCAACATGAGGTCTTGCAAAATGTTCTCTTCCATCTACTGGAGGTCTTCCTATGCCCTCTCTTGGATCAACTGGTGGTCGTCCAACAGAATCTCTGACATCCACTTGGGATGGTCTGTTGAGATTATCTCGGTTTTCCACTGGAGGAAAGCGATAATCTCTGTCTCCCTCCTGCTGAATATTATCGCCTCCAAGTGGTAACCTTTTCTCTGGATTAGAAATGCTATCAATATTTTGTCTTCCTGGTGTTGCAAAAGGTCTTTCTGTTTGATTAAAAATATCTCCTGGAGGAAAAGGACCTCGAGGCGGAGGGTGAAGAGATGGATCAAGGATTGCTGGAGGAGGAATACTACGCTGTGGTGGTATTCCTGGCTGCATTAATGGAAACCTTGGTCCAGGTGAATGGGGCATTAGGCCTGGACGGATATCTATGAGAGGCATTCCTGGCATCCTTTGACTACTAATATTTAAATGAGGCATATTTTGAACACCAGCTGGGTGCTGTATTGCCAGAAGTCCAGAGTTACTTGAAATATTTGGTGGTGGCACTCCCATAAGTCCAGAACTACTTGAAACATTCGGTGGTGGCATTAGGAGAAGACCAGAGTTGTTTGAGACACTCGGTGGCTGTACTCCTGCCAGAACTCCTGAGCTACTCGAAACACTGGGAGGCTGCATTCCTGGTAGAAGGCCAGGGCTGCTTGAGATATTGGGTGGATGCACTCCAGCTAGAAGCCCTGAGCTACTTGAGACATTTGGTGGTTGCACTCCAGCCATAAGTCCAGAGCTGCTCGAGACGCTGGTTGGCTGAACTCCTCCTGCAAGAGAAGAGCTACTGGAGACACTGGGTAGTTGCACTCCTCCCACAAGACCAGAACTGCTTGAAACAGTTGGTGGTTGCACTCCTCCTCCAAGTCCAGAGCTGCTTGAGACACTGGGTGGCTGTACTCCGCCTGCAAGTCCAGAGCTGCTTGAGACACTGGGTGGCTGGCCTTCTCCAGTTAACCCAGAACTGCTTGAGACACTGGGTGGCTGCATTCCTCCAACAAGTCCAGAGCTACTTGAGACATCACTTTGCACTAAAATGAATCAACAAGAAGAACAGTTACCAGAAAATGCCAATGCAACATAATATTGGAAACAAAACAGAACTTAATCCATTATTCAAGTAATACATTCAGAGTGATGATACTGCTGATGAGGTCTGTCTCAGTTTCTACAGTGAACATAGATCATTTTAATCATGTTGAGGATAGACATTAAGCCATGGAAATTAGCACCTGTATATAGTAAAGAATGTACAGCAGCTTAAAGTTGACAAACTCCACAACTATCACCCAATTTATGCAAGTGAAATATTAAAATACTTGACATAGGTCTTTAAATTTTATACTACTTTATTCTACTCTGCTTTTTTGCATTACTGTTCACGTAGAACAAATGCACTTCTAACATGTTTTCAAGAGATTTAGCTCTATTTCTCAAATCTACAAAGAAAAGATTCCCAAGAAAAAGCTGTTAGGAATAAATGATTAGATTGTGATAAAGATGATCTCCCTTACTCCTTCATTTTAAACTGAAAATTATACCTAGCATACTACTTCCAACTCTATTTATTAGTGTATTGGACAAGGACCAGATAAAAAAACCTCTTAAGCTTGATGATGTTTCTTGCATGCGAAAGTATCAGACAACAAAAACATTTCTTACCAGCTCTACCATTTTCACTGGAAGAAATCTGAAGGTCTGCAAGATGAGATCCCTTTTCATCAGGTTCTTGTTTGTTGATTGGCAGAGGATTAAAGATGCTTCCAGAAGATAATGTTGGAGTAGCTAGATTGCTACTAACTGTGCCAACAACTGGTAGAACCAGGCCAGTAAAAGGTACATCCTTCATCGTCTCTTGAGCAATTGGTAATGGAGGCTGTACTAAAGCTGTAGAGAGAAAACACAAGTGCATCACAGTAACCATATCTGCATCCTCCATGTTTAGTTTGTTAGGTATCAAGATAATAAATCAATATTCTTTTAATTACTGTAAGAATTATGGTAGTTTTAATAATCATTTTTCTTTTATGTTCAATCAGCACTCTAATCTTTACTTTTTTGTAGAGAATTTGAACTGCAGGCACCATAACCAATCAGTACTCTTTAAAAACACTCTTACATGTTAAATTGATAACAGTTAAAAGGCTAACTAAAAATAAATCATTATAAATTACTCAGCAACTAACACTTAAACTTAACTTAGCTTAAGTAATAGCTACATCTGTTATAGCCAAGTAAAAATACTGAACTATTCATACAAATATTAAATAACTCATTTGTCATTATTTTTTCCCCAGTTACTCCATGGTATATTCCTATTTTCCATTAGACAGGACTAATATATTTTTCATTAAGTGATAAGCAGTATATCAAACAAGTAAGCTTTTAATGACATACAGCAACTATGAGAAGAATCAAACTTACATGTTGGAACAACTGGTGGGACAACAGGTGGTGGGACAACAGGAGGAGGAACAACAGGAGGAACTGGGGGAGGCATAAAACCTATATGGAAAATGTACAAATTATTACAATGACAAACAAATATAATTTTGCATTAAAACCTTACTTATATTATTTGTCCTGGAAAGTTGCATCACTCAAAACCAGTGAACAACACAAGTACATGAAGATGTGACAACAGTTATTTTCAAAAAACAATCCATCTTTATTGTAAAAGATCTGCATGCTCATCTCTAAAAGGGATTTATGTCAGCAATACCCAAATAGTTATCATATTTTCATTAGGAGTTTCAAAATCTTCCGAAGAAAGGAGATGAATTTTAAGAATCTTTTAATTTTGATTTTTCCCCAAAAATTAAAAACAAAAACAATCAGAAAACAAACAAAAAAATCCAGCTTTAGTGATATGCTCCACAAAATACGTAAGATATCATTTTTAGACATTAGGAATTTCATATTGGGTTAAAATTAGAGACTCTTGATTTCGCTCAAGCAATAACCAGAAGTTGTTGGAAAACTGTACAAAGCAAAATATACGTAGCACACAGGTTGAGAATACTTATTACATACTCAATTTCCTCCTTACTGACTTACCTGGAGGTGGCTGTGAAGGATTGAAACTTGCTCGCAAGAAGGGTGGAGGAGGAATGGCACTATAACCAGGAGGAGGAACAGACATTGTGACAGGAAACGCAGGTGGAACTAAGCTAACAGCAGGCACAGCTGGAGCTACTGGAATCTTTTTTTTTATGGAAAGAAAAAAAAAAAAATGTAATTTAAATGCCTACAGCATTCAGTAACATTAAAAGAGTTTATTCACTGACTTGCCTGCAATTCATGCAAAATATTAAATGTACCCAAAAACTTTATATTCTGAAGGCTCTGAAGAATTAGACTGCGTTCTGGAATAGTATCTGCGTAACAGATAAATAAGGCCACTGGATGAATCCTATGCTTTTTTTCATTTTTCTAAAGGAGCAGAAAATGCACAGTTAGACATTATGCTAATTGAAGTATAGAAAATTACTTAGGGAGAGAGGGGAATACAAAAAGGAGGAGGGAAAGAGAAAGAAAGTGTGGTGAGAAGTTGGGGTTAAAAAGGAAGAAAAGAGAGAGGGAGGGTAAGAGAAAAAATCTGGCAGTTTGAGGGCACTTAAGAAACAGTCATTCCATTCTCATTAGAAGGAACAATATATTTCAGAACAGTGCCAGAGTGTTGTGAGGTTAGCACATGTGATACTCTAACAAACCTGATGAAATCCTGGTAATTATATAATAGTTCTATGTTCTGTTTGAGCTGTGCATTTTGGCACAGTGCAAAATACTCAGAAGTAACACAGAGCAGAATAAAAGCAATATACACATATAGACACATATACATGTATTTTTAAATGAATCACAGTCTATGCTGGGAGGAAGTTGAAATAAGAAGACCAGGGACAACATAGAAAAAACTGTAAAAGCACAGACTTCAGCACAAGTAAATGCAAAAATGTTAATTTCATAGTAACATCATGTCAGCTCAAGTGCTGCCAGTGTCTAGACACGTTAAGAAAAAATGATAATATGAATACAAGTTTTTTTTATTTAACAACTGTTCTCATTTTACAATTTCATTGGTCATACCAAAAAAGATTTTAAGAGTTTGACATAAGGCATCGGAGTTTACACTTGTGCTATACTCAAGGAAAATTACACCACATTCTTCCAGCCTTCCATAATAAACAGCTATTGATTAGATGTTAATAAAATCATGTTTTATCAGGTGGAAGAAAACACAGTAGATATTCAATGGCTCTCACAAATTACTGTGTGTATCATAGACTACAACAATCTACTATTCAGAACACAGGGCTTTAAATATTTTGCTTAGGCACTTTCCTTAATATTGCAGTTAATCTGTATTGAATAAAAACTTACCCCTCCAGCTGCGTGGAGATTCTGCAAATTCAAACTTTAATACAAACCTGTAGCATAGTGACTGGCTGTGTGTAAGCTTCTGTCTGCGTTGTAATCACTGTGCTCTTATCAACTGCAGTACTCTGCGTAGTTTGAATATTTTCTTTAGGAGGCTCTGAGCTCCTTGCTGTTTCCCATTCTTTATTAAAAAAAAAAAGAGATGCATTTTTAACATAAAAAGATACTGATGTGGGTTTTTCTAAAAAGTGCTTTTCTATTTTAAACAGTAAATACAATTATTTACTTATTATTATGCATTTTAAGAATGTTAAATGTTTCTAAACACCTGCTTCACGCTATTTAATTGTGCCTGTACACAAACAAACTTTTTAAAACTTGACAGAGTTTTTCCACCAATTATTCTGTTAATAATTCACAATACAGAGTATGTTTCAGATTTCTAAAAATTTGGCTGCAGTAGAATGACAGATCCTCAAGTGGAGAAAAAACACCAAACAAACCAATCAACTAAGCACAACTCCTTTCTACCACCTCCTCATATTAACTTCCAACAGTATCAAGAAAAAAGGTTTGTGTTTTTCAAGTATAAAATAGTAAATGTATTCTAATAATATTTCATGATTTAATTCTTATGTTACCTACAGTAAATTTTTACTCCAAGCATTGTGAATGCATTTTTACCTGAAAAATTATTGTCTCTATAATGAAACAGTCTTAATACATTGCTTATTTCAATGTAGTCTGGTCATTTGGTGCTAGACCCATTTCAAGAAAATACAGTACTCATGTATCTTTTACAAACTTAGCAAACTTCTCAAATAGGTTTCAGTATATAGGTCTAATACTACATGTTTTCTTGCCTCTGACTTTAATGGAGGAAATACCTCAAAGTTCAGCTAAGTTGGTCCTATTTGGACAAGTTCCAACACCAACTTAAGTCTCATACTAGAATATAACATCTTTCACAATCACAACTAGATCATAATTGTTACATAAATAACGTACTTAGAATTGAGCATACAGCAAATTGGAACTGTTAATTATTATCTTCCTTAAATTAATCCCTCTGACAACAGGTCATGACAATTAATTACTCCCCTACAAAAATAATCTACATTTCAATGCCATTTATACTGTAAACAAGTAGTTAGTAATATTAATGTAAATTTTAAAAGAGTATGTGTTACCTAAAGAAATAATCTTTCTCAGGATTTGCAATTATAAAGAAATAAACACATAAGTATCACTGTTAATGTTCATACCTGTATTTACTGTCTCCTGATCAATCATGCCACCTTCAGCAAAGCCCTCCAAATCATCCAGTTTTACCTTCTCCCAAGGAATATATGAAACTCCCAGATCCACATCCCAGAATTGCTTATACTCTGTTTTCACACCTTTATTTAAAGCCCAGGCAATCTGAAAATAAATCCCCGAAAGATTATCTGGTTATGTATAACCTGTGAAATGTAGGACGTTCACCTGGCCTCTGCAACAATAGGAACATTAATTACATTTAAAACCTCAAATTTCTTCTGCTTTATTTCTAACATACACATAGGGAAATCAAGAACACAGTATTTAAAGGACTCTTCCTGAAGTGTCAAAGAAAGCAGAAAAAGCATAGCACCTAATCAAATAATTAACTTCAAGAACACTAGCAATTTTAGTATTAAGTGATCTATGTGGTCAAGTACAGGACTTCAGTATTTCACAGTATTTTTTATCACCAACATGCATTTAAAACATTTTCCAGATATTTTCTAAGTATCAAGTCACAATTTTACTTAAGTATCTTCCGTATTATCTGTCCAAACCTGCACTGTACGCCATATGCACCTTAACGATTCATTCTTATTTTCCATACTGTCAGTTTGAATTAATAGCTGTTAAATAATTGATTAACTGATAAAAAAAACTGTACTGCTTTTGAAATGGACACCATCTTTGGACTAAGTTCAACTTACCTTAATAATTTTCGATCCAATTTTGTAGGACCCAGAACTAAGCTTCTGAAGAGCACGATATGCATCTTGTCTATGAACCATGCAGACATATGCACAACCTCTTGGGGGAATCATCTATTGAATAAAAAAGATCCGTGGTCTTAAAAAGCAGGAAAAATGGTACTTCAGATTACCTATCTACACTGAATACTAAAATAACAAAAAAAAAAAAGGAGGGACTTATACTGTAACCATCACTGTAATAAGCATAATTAACAATTCTGAGCATCAGCAAGAACTAAGAGTGAAGTTAGTAGAGTACAATAGTTACAACATCTAGAAGCAGCAGCAAGCTGAAGAATGGGCACTAAAAGCAGCATGACATTTAAATGACAAGCAGAAGGCAGAGATGCTATGGCAAAAGGTACTGAACAAGTTCTTTGCCTCAGTCTTCACTTGTGAATCAGTGACACAGTTAGTGGGATGAAGTGCACAGGAAGTTGGCAGGAAGGTTGGAACTGGATGATCTTTAAGGTCCCTTCCAACTTACGCCATTCTATGATTCTACTAGACTAAATCGAAATGACTCTAAATCATGAGAAATATAGCTCCTAAGGAAAGCATGCTTTTATGGTCACATTTTATAAACACGCTCTTGTTTACAGTACCATGTATCCTTTTATAAATGATTTAGATACACTGACTGCTATTTAGCACCCCTATGTATGCATATAACCAAGCCACTGAGGACATCACATCGCACTCTTGTCGATTAGTGAAATAAAAAATGATCTCTATTCCTATGTCACAACACAAAGTGAAAAGGCACAACTTTGTACTTGTTAAAATCCAACTTCAAAAAAAAAAAAAAAAAAACAACTTGTTTTAAACTTTTAAAACTGTGCAACCAAAGTTTTTGTCATGGAAAAGCCATTTTACCATGAAGCATACTGTCTTCAGTGCTTCAAACAAAAGTACATGAAAACCCACAAGCAAATATCATAGCTACAGTTTTTAAGCAGTGATAAAAAATATATGTATCAATCACCTAAACACAAGCTTAGGCTAAAAAGGAATCCAGAGGCCTAGGTATGTTTAAGTTGCTTAAAATCCTTAAAAATGGATGATTATATGCACACTTACATTAATAGATTCTATTTGTCCAAATTCTTCAAACAAGTTGGTCAAATCTTGCTGTGTTGCCTTCTTGTCTACTTGACCTACCCAAAGAGTAGTGCTGCAAACTGCCAAGAGAAGCGTTCATGTTACAACAAGTACTAAAATGTTTGCTTACAGAACACATTATGGAATGGATATAATAGGCACAGAAATCATGGATCAAAAGCAAGAATAGTAAATCTATAACTTATTAAGCAGAGAGTAGGTAAATTAATAGAAATATTAAAAGGCAAAATGAAACAAAAACAGCTGTTCAGTACAAGCGTTCACTTTTCTTGTTTTACTTTCTTTTAATCAAAATAGTTGCTTTAAAAACAGTGAAAAACATTGTTTAAAAACAATGAAATGTCAGCTATTATTGCCTGCAGCAGAAAGGTCCCTCCCAGTCAAAATATTCTGTGATCAGCTATAGCAAGCTGTAATAGCAATTTGCCACTAAAAAGCATACCTGTATGATTAAAAGACTTTCAGTTGACTCAGTAATGCTGAGAAGGACTAGCCCTCAGATTTCTCTTAGACACAACTGGCTCCTTATCTTTTGAAATTTCACAGAAGTCAATTTATTTCTCACAACAAAATGCGTAAGAAACAATTCTTCAGACCTCAACTAGTGATTAACAGTGGTTGTCATATTTTGAGTTGCTTAACAAATTGAATGAAGTCAATAGGCAGTTTTTTTTTTTCTCCTCCAATTCCAACCTCACTTACGCTCCTTAGTATCCCCCTTCTACATGAGACAGACTACCTCCAAGTACTTCAAGTGCTGATGGTCTTCTATATCGCACTTAGCATCCCTGCTTCCCGGTCCCCATCCATTCTGATTATAGTTCCCTGCTTTGTACTCTGCTGGGAGAAATCTACATCATAAAAACTATTTGCTATTTATCATGTGAAAAGCCAGAGAATAAAAACCAGACATCTAAACTCTAGTTCTGAGTTTACAGCATCTTGGAAGGATGTTAAATACTCATGCATAGAGAACAGAACACTCTTAGAAAAATGAATTCTGAATTGCTTAACTGGTCAGATACCTGACAGAATTCAAGACACCAAATAAACACAGAACCTACATCTGAAACTATGTTATCTAACCAAAGTTAAATTTGGGAGTGCAAGTTTATTACAAAAATAAATTAAGTGCAATGTGTGCATCCCAAGAATCCAGGATCCTGAAAACACCATGCTGATACAGTAACAAAATTAATTCCATTTAAAGCACTCAGCAAACTGACCAAAGTGCGCACCTTTGAACAGTGTCCACCACATACTTAAATCCCTTACAAATCCCAGTAACAAATTTTAGACCAAGTGTTGTCCATTTTCAAATGCATTGTAAAAGACAGTATTAAAAAAAAAGCATCCAGTAACTTAGTGACACTTTTGCTACTTTTCTTTTTGGAGCTAAAACTGTCAATGTAATAGCACAAGTAAAATCATCAGCAGAACAGGATGATATTTGCTGCTCTCTAAGATGAGATCATGTACCTGCTTAAGTTGTAAGAAACACGAGAACTTAAACTTACAAAAAGAATTTGTCTATCAAAGTTTGTAGAAGCTGGATATTTTTCTTTCAATGAAAAAAAAGGCATTTTCCCTTTAGAACTATATTATTAGAACAGAAAACTGTTGCCACCTACCACTTAGTGTTTTTGACCGTATTGGAGGCAATCCCTTTTTCTGACGTTCTTTTTCCCTTTCCCTAGCCCTTCTTTCACTGGAGTAGGACCGAGATGACTTTCTCTTCCTTTCTCTTGATCTTGAGCGTGAACGCTTTCTGTGTTTGCGCTTACGAGAACCAGATCGTGATCTAGACCTTCTTTTCCTTGGTGACCTACAAAATACTTGACTTCAGTATGCTGAGTTTAAAAAAAAAAAAAAAGTAATATAGTTTTATTTTTAACTACAGTCTTCAAGCTTGTTACAAATACTTCCTTTATATTTACTCAAACTGCCATTAATGTGGGGAATAGAACATATACACAGGGCTTTACATAATAAACCAAAACAAAACACGCCTCAAGATTTCCGTAACAGTACCTGTTTTTCTGGCAGAGAAAGCCTGTCAAACTCATTCGTGTTATTTTTGTTACCTGACCAGTCCTAAAAAATTTAAGGTAGTCCAAAGGTATGCAAAACAAGCTGCCGAACATTAAATCTTCATCTAGCTCACAAACACTAAATGAACAAATTACTCGTGACAACTTCGGAAAATACAAGATTGAGAATAGTAATCACAGACTGAAATCCTGTTTAAAAAAAACAAAAAACCTTCATTTTCTTAATACAAGTTCATTACTTCACCTTGAACGAGATCTTGAACGAGTTCGTGATCTTGAACGAACAGCAGATTTTTTTTCTTCTTGTTCAAAAATCTCTTCCTCAGCAACATCCTGTCCTTCATCTATGTCCATGTCCTGAGGTGAGACACAGTAGATATTCATAAAGATTTAATAAATACCCTTACCATCTATCCAAGCATATGAAAAAATGCACGTATTTTACTTCTTTTGAAATCAATATAATGTTTTCAACTTTTGCAATTAAAATTTAAAATTCTTTTACCTGTTGTTGAATATCCATTGAATCATCTACATTTGTTTCTGCTTCTAAAAACTGCTGTTGACTGCTCCCTTGTGAAGGTGATGCAGAGTGTTCTGAACCAAAATTCCCTTCCTGATTTTCCTCAGGGCTTGCCTAAATTGCAAATAATTATAAATCATAAGAAGCCTCATAATTCAAATTGTTTATTGTGTCAGAAATCAAGAATACACGAAGCAATTGTTCAAATATTTCTCAAAAACAATTAATCTACTTTATTTTCTTCCTTTTCATTCATATGGAGTAATTATCTACTGAGAAATACAGAAGCATAGGTTTCGAATAAATACTTATGAGACAGAAAATAAATGCAAGGAATACAGGAAATAAAATGAAAATCTTCAGAAAAGTAATTGACAACTTTTTTAACTTAGTTTTTACAATTATTTAATGTTTTTGTCTTCTAATAATGTTATCTACTTCATTTTCCATGTATTTAATTATTTCTATATAATCTCTGTTTCTTGGTATCAGTTCCTACATTTCTTGTTGCTCCTATCTTCTCTCCTCCTCCCACTCTGCTCCTAATTAGGTGTTTAATACTTTTGGTTTGTGTTTCATTTTTCTTCCTCTTTCCCTGAATCCTTCTCACTGATTCTGAAGAATGGAATTAAAGAAAATATTCCTTGTAACACACTGCAGTCAGTCCTGAGGAGACCTTGTGTCTTTTAGCTGCGATCAGCATGAATGTTAAACTTATTCTATGTACCACGTAATCAAGAAGCTGAGTGGACCTGAAGGGAAATAATTTCTGTAAAACCATTTGGAATAGAAGATCAAATAATAGGGGATGAGTCATATCAACTCAATACCCATATATGTAATGTAACTTAATTTCATAAATGAAATCTAATTTACTGTCCAATTCTGCTTTTTTTTTTTTAATAGTTTGTTCTACAATAAGGTAGGCCATTTAGCTTATTATTTCAAATTACATACTATTACCTATCTTTAGATAAGTCATATCAAAAGCTCCTGAAACAGACTCACCTTCCAGAGTTATATTTCTGTACAATCTATACAGAGTTTAAGCCAGAAATTGCTAGATTACACATCTACATAAAAAAAATTTAATCTATGTTGTACAAACATCCTGTTACTATAGTTAAATAAAACAAAGATTTTAGTTTCTATAGAATTAAAAACTCCAAGTCACAAATTCAAAATTCCTGTTGACATGCCTGATTGAAAGCTGAGGATTGCACCTTTGCACTCATTAAAATAAAATTCTCAACAGACTGTTAAGCTTCTTGTAATTTTCATTCAATACAGAAATTTCCATTTTACTGATAAACTGATCCAAATACCCTATAGCATATCCACTTTGTATCTGGCCAGTAAAGAGACAGAATAAACTTTTTGTTTTCTAACCGAATCAGAAACTGACATCAGAATGAGAGCATAACAACACAGCATAACCTCAGAAGAACAAGACAATTTACTTTGTTGTAGAGAAGACCCAATTTACACAGTTAAGAAGCAACCTTGCAATGTCTCAAGCATCTATTCTTAACTAAGAACTTCACAGGAAACACTGGACGTTATTCTTTAGTTCAGATTCTTTAGTAGAATAATACGTTTACTGTCAAGATTTAAAGCTTGGAAGGGGAAAATTTAAGTTACAGTGCAGTCTAGTATTCTGTCCTTTTGTAGTTCTGTAGCAGCAGATCGTGCACTGCTCTCTCTGCACAGTCAGTAGCGTATTGACTTCAGGGCTCATTTCCTCCTTCACAACAGCAGAAAAAGAAAAAAACCAACTTTATTTTTCCAATAAAACAAGCTGAACAGTCAAAGAACAGTCAGTCTGTAACTCAGCTGAGGGGTACTCCTTCCTAAAAGAAGCAAAATGTATATCCAACATTCGATTCTATTTATTCTTCTGCTTGATGCACTTTCTACTGCTTATTTTATTTACTCTGCAAGTTTCTACTAAATGACAACCACAAGATGGAGTTCTTACCTTTTGAGGCTGCTGTTGCTCCAGAAGTTGTTGTCTGAGATGTTCTAAATTTTGTTGCTGCAATTGTTCAGCTAGTTGGTGAAAAATTGAGTTGTTCACAGATTCTGGTACTAATGGCCTAAAAAGAAAGAATTTTTTAAATAAGCATATTTTCTCCAAGTGGTTGATAAAGAGACTTTCACTCTTGAGTTTTAAGTTTAATTAGAGATATAGAATAATAACGATGCAGACAGTGTAACATCATTTGTTATCATCATTACTGCACCACTGACATTTACATAACTAACAAAGCAAAGAATGTGTTAACTTCAAGATAAAGTCAGAAAAACTGGCACACATACAAAATGTTTAAAAATGTATACACTTCACTTCGTAAAACGTCTTTTTTCTTTATGTTGTTTTGGTTTACTTATGCTCTCAAACAAACATCTTCCTTTCTATTTAAACCTCAAGTTCAATTAGTGCCAGCCAAATTTCAGCATTTTCCTTTAGAAACACAGTTTGATCTTACAGTTGGGAAGTGGGAGTTTCCTTCTTAGACTCCTCATTTTGTTCAGATTCTTCCCCAAAGTCAAACCTGTCCATCAGCTTCTAGGAGAAAGCAAAGTAAGCCTTACTGAGTGAGCACTCCTCATAAAATATATGTTTTATGTACATTTAGTTTTCAAAAGAAAAATGTTTTTATTTCTCAATTAAAAAAAATTAGTTTGGCAATCACTTGAAAACTGAATGCCATACTAGTATCACTACCAAACTTCTCAATGCATCAAACCCCAAGTCTCAGCTGTGGCTTTCTTGAGCTCTGCCTGCTGTTGCAAGCAGAACTACACGTGCTTTCCATAGTAAATAACAGCTTATTTGGAAAAAGGCTTACAAAGAGATTAATTTTATGTGATGGTACCTTTATTCAATCCTTTGGCAATCAATGAACTACTGTGCTCATATCATGAGAAGATCTACAGCTTGATTACCTCACAGAAAATCACAGTGTTAGGGTTAGGGTTCAGCAGCATTTTATTTTCTTAAGACAAGACTAAAAAAGGAGTATGAAAAATTGCAACAAATGTTACTTCTTACTCAGACCAAGTTTTTTCTTTAACTATGCATCGAGAGCAGTGCTATCGAATTCATGTCCATACAACCTTTCACCTTGGAAGTCTTCCAAAAAGCAGTTATTACTGTACTTCAAGATATCCTAACTTCTTCTCAAATATTGTTCTCTCGGAAGAAAAGACTAGAGTATGGAACACAGGCGAGGCATTTGGAAATAACAAGGTAAAAAAAATCTGAACCACTATCATGATTTAGTAACCCTTCTGTTTCACGATGCTTTATTTCTTTCCAGTTACTGGAGTCCATGAAGAATAAAGCACAAGTTGATTAAGAGACTCCGACCAACCAAGAATTTTTAGAACTATTTTCCCAGTGAAATAATCTAGTACAAATGAAAGTGGGATTGTCTCTAAGAGAAAACAGGTGAGGGCATTGTCCAAACACCACTTGAACACTGACAGGAGTGGAGCAACAGTCATCTCCCTAGGAAGGTGGTTCCAGTGTTTGACTGCTCTTGCAGTTAAGAAATTGAGAGAGCTTATGGGTGAGATGTGAAAATCCTGAGTAACGTGGACCATACATATCCCACCCATTTAAAGAAAGTTTCTTGTTTTATCTTTAAATTGCTTTACTTTGTTAGGATATATTCACTGAAAACATGCAAAATACTGCATCTCTGAACAAAATATACATTTTTAGAAAGCACCCAATTTCCTCTTCAAAATATAATTATCATATATCTTCCACACTACAAAGTAGAAAGGAAAATAAAAAAACAAGTACAATTTAAATAGGAATAATCACAGACAATGAATTCAACAACTGATGATACAAAAAAATTTCATACTGTCATAAGCCAAAAATCAAAGAAATTCCAGCCAATAGAGGCAAACGTGTAGCATGATTTCTGATTAAATTTGCCTTTAGTAAATATAAAATAGTACATATTAAAGGGAAATTTTTGAATTTAAACGTTTTTAGGTTGGAGGAGAACTGTCTTTCCAAATCTAATAAACATTTAAGTATACTAAATATTAGGATACCTAGCATCAATCCACTACACATAAACATGTATAAAACCAGAACTTCTATGAATGCCACACCTATTAATCTAATTACTTAAGAATACATTCAGAAAAAGCAATGGGAATTGTAAAAGATATGAAAAAAAGCTTTTTATTGCAAGGGAAATAAAATTCTTCTGAAGCAGCAGACAGGGAGGATCACATCCCTCGACCTGATGGTCACACCCTTTTCAATGCACTCCGGGATACCACTGGCCTTCTTGGCCCACAAGGGCACACCGATGGCTCATGGCCAACCTGTTGTCCACCAGGATACCCAGGTTCCTTTCCGCAGAGCTGCTCTCCAGCAGATCAGTCCCAACCTGTACTGATGCATTTGTTTACTCCTCCCCTGGTGCAAGACTCTATATTTGCCCTTCTTGAACCTCATCAGGTTCCTCTCTGCCCAACTCTCCAGTCTGTCCAGGTCTTGTTGAATGGCCACACAGCCTCCTGGTACGTCAGCCATTCCTCACAGCTTTGTGTCATCAGCAAACTTGCTGAGGGTGGACTCTATCCCACCATCCAGGTCACTGATGAAAATATTGAACATGATCAGATCCAATACTGATCCCTGGGGAACACTGCTAGTTGCAGACCTCCAACTAGACTGCACCAATGATCGCAATCCTCTGAAATCTGCCAGTCAGCCAGTTCTCTTATTGCTCAGTTTCCTGTAGTGTTGATGGGCTGGTGTTTGTTCTCCCCTGAAGCTTTGTTCCAGACTGACTCAGCCTTACTCAGAACTAACCTCAGAGGTTACGGCGGAGCACTTGCCCAATGTGGTGGTCCCCCTCTAAATTCAGCTTGCTAGTGTCTTTCTTGTGCAGGTGGGGGGCCAAAACTGGATGTGACACTCCAGATGCGTGTCTAGTGACTGCCGAATAAAGGTGAGTTGACCATTGCCATTAATCCTTTATTCATATACCTCAGGTTCATTACAAGAGGTGCTATGTAGGACAAGATCCCTGAGAGTAAATTTCTGCAGGCTTATAGCTAACAAGACACTTGCTACTGACCCACAGGTAAAGTATAGCCAATTAGTTGCTACTTGAACCCAATTATGCAAATAATTGTTTTACCTATCTGGATGTCCACCTGAAGAGATTATAACGCATTCAGCTGGACACAAAACATTGTGCAAGAGGATATCAAATTCTGTGTTAAAGTCAGAGTAATTGCATTCACTATTCTCCTCTCATCCTCAAAAGCAGTCTATCCATCATCAGAGGAAACCAGGTCAGTCAGGTGTGATTAGCCCTTGGTAAATCCATGCTGGCTGTTTCCAATCAATTTGTCTTTTGCACACCCAAAACTGTCTTCCAGAAGTACTAGCTCCACAGAGCTAAGCGAGGCTAACCGGCTTGTAGTTTTCTTGGGTGATCTTCTAGCCTGCTTCAAAGGATGCAACTTTTCCAGTTGTTAGGGACCTCCTCTAATCTCTATTTTTATTTTTATTTTTATTTTTTTTTTTTAAAATACCTACTAGAAGGTACAACTCTTGCTGAGCGCTGAAGAGAAATTCTGATTATGTTATATAAAGTAGCTTTCAACTATTCTGAAAACCAAGAAGGTGCACCACTTCTTCAGTTCATTCTTTCCAAATGTAGGTGGATGCCCAGTAGGCAAACAAGAGACAATTGGTCACAAACTGGATTACAGAAGGTTCTGTCTAAACATCAGGAAGCAGTTCTATACAGTGTAGGCGACAGAGCAACTGGTACAAGTTGCCCCAAGAGGCTGTGCAGTTGCCTCTTTGGAGATCTTCAAAATCTGTCTGGATGTGGTCCTGGACACTGTGATCCCCTGCTTGAGCAGGACTAAAAGACCTCCAGAAATCCCTTTGGACCTTCACATTTCTCTAATTCTGTGATGCTAGGTAGGAGTGATCAACTTTGACCATCTGCTTCCTGATACACATCAGATTTCCTAAAGTCCTTCTGTCTTTGTAAGACAAATCTGAGACAATAGATTTTTCTGTCTCCTTGCTCTAGATATATTTTGTATCTCCCATGACATATTTTAATTGATCAACTTATTTACCTTCTTTCCAGTCTCTTTATGAAGGATTTTGTTAAAGTAGGTTTTTTGAGAAGTCAATGTATGTATATTAACTGGTTCTTATTCATTTTTTTTTTATATACAGAATTATCAACACACAATTTTCACTTACTGAAGTTCTATTTGCTGTTACAAGGTTGATTTGTAATTCCCATTGTTATATTTGTTAATAACTTACTTTCTTATAAAGACTAGAGCCCCAGAGATTAAGCAACTATATGACTTATACTCCAAAGCTGTAAACAATCTAGCATTGCTGTTCATTGTACAAGTGTCACAACAAACAAAAAAATATCAGAAAGGTATCTCTAACAATATTTTCATCTAGTATTTTTTTTAATTTGTGAGAAGTTTTTGGTTTTGTTTTTTTAAATTCTATTGACATACTACTATGATGCAATGTTAACTACTACTACTACCTATAGCAATTGCCAGCATGGTTATTGATCCCTGGCATTCAACCCTATTCATTTTTTATCTTTTTTTTTTTTTTTTTTTTTTTTTTTTTATCTAAGTATTATTTAAGAGACACATAAACAGCAGCACACACAACTTTTTTCACTTCAAGGTTTTGTTTGTTTCTACATTTTGATATCCTTTAAAAAATGTCCCATGACTAGCTTTAACTAAAATTATTATTCCTTAACTCATCTCACTTTGTGGGTGAGAAGGTTTTTTGGCCTTCATAATGTAAGAAAATAACAAATACAATCTCCTTTTACTCTTCTTGGAAAACTAGGTATATAAATTTTTATATATGTTTCTCTTTCACTGCTCTGTAGGAAATCATTTCATGCATTAGATAATAAATTCAGGTAGGGAAGAACACAAAACATGGTCAAATTCTCCTCACCACTGTGCTTCAAAGAGTTAAGAAAAACATAGAACAATGTCTTAACTTCTTAAATTCAAATTCATGTTCATATAAATGCCATTTAGCTTTAAACTCATTCAAGCTACGTATTTGAATTTATACTACTCTCCCCAGACATTTTTTTAATTTTCAAGATAGAGCACTATCACATATTTATGTATTTTTAATACCTCTACAGCCATACAGTGAAATCCAACAGATGACTTTCTTACTTAGATGTATTTTAACAATAAAAATTTCCATTATTCTACTTCTACCTTATTAAAAGAGACACTCTGTTCCAACGGATTAAGTGTATTGGCAGCAGCAGCTGCAGCTGTAAGTTGTGCAGTTAGGGCCTGTAACTGAACGACAAGACCAGCATCCAGGGCTTGAAGTAGTGAAGGCTGAGGTTTCTGCTGCTGTATCTGCAGCGTCTGTATCAACTGCTGAAGCTAAAAGAGAAAAGACAACTACATTAAACAACATGTATTTTTAAAAACAGCCTTTTCCTCTTCCAACTAGGAAAAAACCTCATGAACGTAGTATGGTCTAACCTATGACTATTAATTTATTTTAATCTGTTTTCATTTATGGCAAATTATGTTCCCACTTACAGGCCAATTTGTTTTCAGTGGCTGATAAGACATGTAGATGCTTCTTCCTCCTAACTTGCTCTGAGAGGTTGCATGATGACCAGTCACCACTCAGGATTTCCTGTTTTCTACGTTTCCCTCTCTTCTGCTTCTCCAGTTTGATTCCTTCTGACCTGAAAAAAATCTGTTAGCCCACTCCAGCTTCCTGAGGACCCATCTATATTAGGAAAATTTGTATCCTGTAATACCACTTGTGTAGAGCAAATAACTGCACTGTTGCTAGATGCATTTTAAGCCTTCATTAAGAATTTCTGCTTGTATCTTTCTGTAAGTCATGAGGAAAATCTCATGCTGAAACTCAGGGCTGCACTTAAAGAATGCAACCGCCATGCTACGTGAACCAAATCATGAGAAGCAAATTAATCAAGAATTAGCAATAAAACTTAACTTTCTACATTGGCATTATGTATAGCTCTATCTTCAGATAAAATGCTCCTATAGCAGTTAATGCACTGTGGAACCACAAGCTGCAGCTCCGGGACAACTGCCCAGTAATAACTCCAAACTCCTCCATCCAGTATGGCAAAGAACTGTACAACCAAGTGCTGAATCTGCATTTCTCATTTAAAAACAAAACAAAAAAACAAAAAAGCCATGGCTAAAAGTATATGTTATTTTTTGTTTGTTGGTTTTTAAAGAACCACATTCTGCAATCCAGAAGAGAACTGGATTATACTGGAAACAATACTACAGATCATCAGAGGAGGAATACTTGGAACTGTAGTGAATGTTCCAGAGTGGACCCAAAGATTTTATCAGAGTTTATTAGGATACCCTATGAGTTGTCTCCTTCAAATCTAGAGAAGGAAAACAAAGTAAAATAATGCATCTCCCATAAAGGTTTTTTAGAACTAACGTACCAAAAAGAATATCCAATTATCTACAGTGTGTCATGTTTTTCCTGTCCCAACTTACTATAATTTTTTTTTTAAAGCAGTTGTTCCATGAAGGAAATGAAAGGCTAACTGTATCATGTGCAGATCTGTTCATCTGTTGAACAGAGACACACCCATTAAACTGTACAAATATATCTTAATGAAAAAAGAAAAGGTACAATCTTTAAGGAAAGAAGACCTCCTGAAGTACCTCAAAATTAGAAAAACAGTCTTTTGACCTTCCATATGGTAGACCCTTACAGACTAATCTTTGGTTATCCCTGGAAAAGGGTTGAGCAAATCCAGGTAGTTCAAACTCTGCTGACATAAATGCCCAATTATCTTTAAGCTCTTGTTCCACCTGCTCATCAGGTTCAACACTAAGATATTAAGACTTCAATTGCTCTCTTTTTAGTAGGGTTGACAAGAAACTCTGTAAGTTCATTATACCATCTTCATCATAATGCATCAGAAATGCTCGATCTTTTTTCAAGATTGTTTTGAGGCTACCTTCTAATAACATGAAGTAACTTCCTGTTCCTTAAGTACAGAATCCTCCGGAAATGCTTCAGTTACTGTTTTACTTTACTAAGAGTTTCACTAACTACAGCAATAGACAAAGCTGAAAAGCTTCCCACCTCCTTCTTGGTTGTTCCACAAAAGATGAGCAAATACGGCACATCCACCCTGTACACTGCTCTGAAGAGGAAGGAATCAAACTGAAGAAGCAAAGATGGAAGCTCTTGAGTGGGAAAATCCTGAGTGGTCACCATTCTAGCTGCATATTCTTGCCGTTCACACTTTTGTTACTCTGTTCTCTCCTATATTTAGACTCTTATTTTACCTACATGTGTTCTCGCCCACAAAACACTCTCTTGGAATGAAATCAAGGATTTTGGAGCTTTGGGGAATGAGTGGAGTGACTCAGAGAACATGAAGAAGAGATGGACAGAAGATGGAAACATTTTTACAGAAAGCTGCCTGCCTGCGCTCAGCTTCGGGCTACAAGGACAAGCAGTTCATCACATGTTGAGCTTCAAGCCACATCAATGAGTTGAGCAGTTAGAAACTGAACACAAACCCAGTCACTTCTCAAAGATTTTTTTGAATGCTGCAAAAATAAAAACGTATTTAGCTGTCTGAAATATAAAGAATGCACTTTCAGAATGAGAATATTTCCACCATATAATTCTGTGCAATGTTTAGCATCTTCAGAGCATCCAGCATAGAAATATGCTTAAACTGGCATTCTATTTCATACCTGCATTCATGAAAACTTAATGCTGCTTTGGATTTAGTCATTTGCAATATTAAATATAAAAGAAATTAAACGTATTATAGGCCACCTTATCTGAAATCACATTCCGGGATATTTTTAAGGAACAAAGAATGCTGGTTATATAAGGTAACAGGAAATTTTGGTTTACCTGGAACTTACTTGTGATGAATAACCTCATTGGATAGTTAATATGAATACTGGACAAAAAATTGGACATGAGATTTCCATGAAAACTGCATTCCTCCAACAACACCTTAAAGACATAGAGTATCAAAGACTGTACAGTGTAAATGCCTACAGAATACTCACCTGTTGGCCTTGGGGACTCTGTAAAATCTGGGCAACAGCAGCAAGCGTATCTGTATTAGCAATCTGAGATACCCAAGGATCAGGTAAACTTTGCACCACATTGGCTGGAGTAACTGGAGTCACAGGTGTTCCTAAAAGAAAGAAAATCCAATATGTCACAATATTTTAACATACAGACTTAGAAACAGTGTTGGGGGAGAGGGGAAACTGTTGTAAAAGAAACGATAAATCAAACATGAATATTCGTGTTTATTTTCTAGAGCAATGACTTCTGGACTGCAAGAAATCACATTATAAAGCAACTCTAACCTTCCTAGGACACTAAAACCAGTTACTGAGAACTAGGAAACACTTCATTAACATGAGCAAAACTATTTTTCTGATACACATACAGAACACAAAGAAATAAAACAGATTCACATCAGCATTTTTCAAGTAGCAGCTCTGCTGTTTAAGTGTAGTTCACAGCTCTTTCCATTATTGACCTAAGGGAACCACTAACAATAACACCGATAAATGTAAAATACAAGAAGGTTAAGCAACCCAATTCAGTTTCACACAGTAATCTAAACCACCCAGTGGAAGCAATATCTTTCAAATGGTAATAGCAATCCATTCAGAAATATCAATTAATAAAAAATTTACTGGGCTTACACTTTACACTCAGAAGGAACCTTGAGGTTTCTACTAAAATTCCAGCCTGCAGCAATTAGATTCTTTAAGATTGCCCATTTAATAGGTCTTTTTTTTTTTTTTTTTTTTGTTTTCCTCCTAATATTTCTTTGAGAGGAACTTTGTGATCATCTAATCATTGCTTTCCTTCCATAATCCAGAATCTCTCTTCATCCCTGTAAATACCCTTTGAGCTTTTAGCTCGAAAATAGAGATATGTTGATACGAAAATATCATGTTTTCACTTGATATTCATCAGCATAACGGATTATCAACAACATAACTGATTATCACTTAAACAGGAAATTTGCATCAAAATTAAAAAAAAAAAGCATTACAGCAAAGCTGTGATTTCAACATTTTAAAGTAATCAAACTAATGAAAATAAAAAACACTGAGATAGAAGATGCATTATGTCACAGAATAGGAACATCTGCATATTTGTAGACACCACTGAAAGATAAGATTATCTACCTTCTTGATTTTCAGCAAAGGATCAGCAAAAAGTGAGTAATAAAATCAGTTCCATACGTGCCAAAACAATTTTATAAATAAAATTTCCCATACATCCCAATCTTCAAGGAAAAATTCTCCACAACATGAAAAATGTTGAAAAGCCAGCTCCCTAGCATCTATTCACGTAAGACGATCAAGGCATATAAAAATGTTAGTGTTAGGTAACTTTAGCTGTACTCTACAAGCAGCTTTTTGCCCACTTGGCTCTTACTCCAAACAAGGGGGAGGAGGAGGTATGTTAGTAGATGCAGCTTGTTTTATCGATGTGGGGTTTTCTGTTCAAAATTATTGCCTGTTGACCAGCAAAAGTAAAAGATCCCCATCTGACATTATCTAATCAGCATGTTCAGTACTAAAGATAGCAAAAAGATACGGATGGGTTCTCTTTTCAACGGTCAAGTATCTTTCAAGTATCTTCTTCTTTGCCTTTAAGGTGTAAAAGTAGGTCTTACTGCACTGTTACTCAATATGAAATTACTTAAGATACACAGTTGGAAAGTAAACATAATGAGCTTTGTTTTGGTTTTGCTATTTTCCTAATCTGAATGCTGGCTATAGTACATTCCTTTCTGGATTTCATTGGATTTATCAAAAGTGAACCAGTGAGGCGGGTTTTTTTGGGTTTGCTTTTTTTTTTTTTTTTTCCCCTCTCTCTCTCTCTTCCTTCCAGTACTTTAACAGACAAGGTACCAAAGCTGACAGAAGAGTTTCGATAGAATGCAATTTATTCAATTTTAATCTGGTTTTGTTTACCTGGTGTATTGTTGCTCATAGCAGCAGTAGTACTGGGCAAGACGGGGGTCACAACTGGTGGAGGAATTCCTGCTGCCATATCCAAAAGAGGCTGAATAATTTCACTCTTGAACACGTTATTTTTCTGCCATAAGTTTAGCACTCTGACAATTTTACTCTAAAATGATAAAAAAAAAAAAAGAGAGGATCTGTGTCATGATTACATTTTTTGTTATTGTGAATTACTGAAGTTTTAACCAGCAATTCCAATCTGTTTAGACTGAAGCGCCTTTGGATTTACAAAACTACAAACCCTAGGAATAGTTACATCAAAGATGTCTAACCCGTGAACCTGGCCTGACATATACAGGCTGTACATAACACACAGGATATACATCCTTCAGTAAAAAAATAATTAATTTAGAATTACTAACTAACCTAATTATAAGCATCTTCCCCCATCCCTGCGCTCAGAAAACCAAAATTAAAGAAAAACATACAAATGTGTAAAGCAGAAGCCTTCAGTAATATCCACTCTAGTAAGCAAAATACGAGATCAACATCTTTATTCTTTAAAGGAAACACACTAAAATTGCTTTGATTAGAAGAAGTTATACTAAATGTTTTACCTTGTCATCCCCAGGACAACGATACAAGTTCTGAAAAGTGCTGATGATGTTATTGCTGAATCTTGGAGCAAACACATCCTTCTCTTGCCCAAACTGATGCCGGGACTGCCTCACAATCGAATCAATGACGTACAGACCAGGCACCTTGTATTCTGGTTTGCACTACAAATAACAGTAATTTATGATATTCATACATCAAAAATAACACAAATCATTACTGGCAGACTAAACAGAAACAGCTCCATCTAATTTTTCAAAATGTTCACTATTTATTAGATTTTAGAAAAGTGCAAAACTGTCTCAAACAGAAGCCGCTAACCCTTACTGTTCAATTTGTCACAGTTACATATACTCCACAAATATGTATATAGCTTGAATTTCATTTGCTACCACTAACAAAATAAAAAACCTCTTTAGAGTCTAGCTAGTAAAAATCAGCACATGAACAACAAACCTTTTTTAAAGACGCATTATTCTAAAAGATGTAGAGCAGCATAAAGCACAAACAAAAATGCCACATTTCACACTAGACAAGAGTAAAAGTTAAGTCATCATCTTTAATTTTAAAAACTGTGCCAAAAACCTGGTAGAAAAGCAAAAGCAACCGTCACTCATTAGATTACTTTCATTTATTTTGCTGGAAGATTCATAGGCTTCTTTTAACATTAAATGAACACACACAGAAGTAGTTCCAACATAGTATCTGCAGTCATTGAAGTCAAAATGTTACATAAATATAAAATGAGGACAATGTATTTGTTTTTCAGCAGATCAGTTATCATCTACTGATTACTAACAGAAGTTGAACGCAACTGAAAACTGAAATACGTGTTCTGGGGTAAAAACAGAAATTCATATGTATACCTAAGACCCAACTGTAGTGAATAATCTCTACAACACTGAAAGCTCCTCTGTGTGATAACATCTGTTACTGACTTACCTTTTGAATGAATTTCTCAACACTCTGCACAACATGCTTGTAGAACTAGAAAACAAAGATAGTATTTCAATAGCAGAGAAAATTCTGTGATGCATATACTTGCTCAAGTCATGCAGCATTGACAATAAAACAACAGTCAGAAACTTCAGTTGATCAACCAGCAATACAACATCCGTAGCTAAATATGCTATTTTCCTCAGAAGATTTAACAGCATCAGGAAAAGCTAACTGCACTGCACTTATCGTTTTTAGAATAGTGTCTGTATCTAGTAAGTGAAGGTGACTGCTCCTTGAGAATTATACTGTTATTTCAACACACTTACCTGCAGATGTTAGCACAACATTACTAATAGCATTTCTTTCTATTTTATTTTCCAAATGTTAACTTTGATAATCTAAATACACAATATACAAATAGGAAAACCTTTAAAACATTTACTGAGTACTTATTCTTTAGTGCTGTTGGTTTCTTTTGTGGGGATTTTTTTTCTGTTATTGGTTGTTGTTGTTTTTTTTTTTTTTTTAAATTTCACATATAATTGCAATAGCTCCACATCATCTTAATAAATGCTCTACAAAATTAAGCCTTGTTACTGAAATGATAAGCATAAAGCATGATCGATACTTCCCAGTATCCCCTAAGATGCACTGAAAGGCCCAACTCAAAGGGAGTCTGGAAATGCAGTAGTTACTTTATATCCTCTTTTGCCTTGACTGTAGCAAGCTGTGGTAACAGAAAAGTAACATTTTTCTAGCATTTCTAGAATACAATACACTCTGCACATGGTCTAAGTTCTAAGAACAACAGAAGTGTCAATTTCTATGTGATAAAACACACCAAAGAATCACAGAACAGCCAGGGTTGGAAGGGATCTCAAGAATCATGAATCTCCACCCCCCCCCGCCACATGCAGGGCCACCAACCTGCCCATTTAATACTAGACCAAATACTAGATATCCCTCCCACTCACTAAACTTACATTCATTTCTTGGTACACCACTATTGTATTAAATATCCCAAGGCTGTAAGTTCAGGTACCAAACTGATAGCTATAAGATAACATTGGGAAAACTGGAAAGACTGGAAAATACAACTTTTAAAACTTCAGCAGGTTTATGTCTTTGAGGCCCAGTTTATTAAAGGGTGAAAATACATAATGAAAATCTTGAAAGAGATATAGCATTGTCCATTTCAAGGTTTCCAAGATTCTGGTATCATTTAGCAGAGTTGTTAGAGTAATATGGTTAGGTTGCAGTTGGACTTGATGATCTTTAAGTTCTTTTCCAACCTGAACAATTCTATGATTTATTATTAGTTTGGGTAAGGTTCAATAAGGATTTCTAGCATTCTCATAACACTGCAACACATGCACTCTGATTTATGTAGACTTCTCTTATTTAATAAACATAATAAACTCCATTCCTCTACCATCAATTTGCTCTGAGTTACACAGAACTCCAATGCAGACGTCACCAGATGAAAATGTATCTACCTTCCCTGCAGAGGCACGCAGACATAAAGACCATGTCATGCTTTTCTTGCTTTTATTCTATGCTTTTTATTCAACTTTCCAGCTTTCACCAAGCATTTGTTTCAATGCTTAGTACTGTGCACTCTTCCCTCCATTATTTTTCAGTGCTGTTTTCTGTTGCTTTGCTGCTACTTGGCAATCTACTTTGTGGCAAGATTAGTCTTTAGTTAGGGGGTCCTGGGGACCCTTATGATCACACTTGATCATAATTTGGCAACTGTGCACATGATAAAGGGGAAAAACTTGCAGCAGCACGTTCTGTAAGCTATTCAGGTATTTTGTGAGAGGTAAGAACTGGAAAGGAAATTAGAAGTAGCAAGTCAGTTCCTTACCTTTATAGCCTTGATTGCTGCCTTGGTGATCTGTGTCATTTTAGCTTTAGAAATGGGTGGCTTATAATCATTCAGTGAGTACAACTGCAGAAAAAAAACAACAATGAAGTGATCAGAAATACATTCTGCAGTTCTAAAAAGTATAAAAACACAGTATCTTTTCATAAAGAAATACCACTTTTGATATCATCTAATTTTACATATGTATCAGATCAGAAAATAAATCCTCATTTAAGAAATAGAAAGGCCCAATGAAATACAATCTAACAACCAAAAAGCTTAAAAGACAGCAGGTTCTTCCTTGCAATGGCCAATGCACACCTAGTTATTAGCACTAAATACAGCAGACACCCATAGGTGAAGTTACAAAGGAGATATGCAATATACAAATGTGACAGCTCTCATGTTTTCTTTTTTAGGGCAAAAAAGTAATAGTGCACTTGATGACCCTCAAGAAAATGTACAGACACTTAACCAAATACTTGTTACATGCATCATCGCTTGCCTACTGAATCTTATTTTATTTTCCTTAAAACAAAAATTTTCAGCCCAGTGAGAATGAGCATTTAGCCATTTTGCCACTTACCATAGCAGATCTATACACTTCATTCACCGTTTTAACTCAAACAAACAAATATGCTAATTATTAAAAACATTTAAGCAAATTCCATCTGAGTTCTCAGTTCTTTCTGAAGCTTTGTAACTTCATATCTAAGCACCAAAACAGACAAAGTACACAAGCTGTTTCACAACATTTTTTTTTTCCCCAAAGATGCAGTAATAGCCTTATTCTTACTCCCCTGACCCGAGATGTGAACTGACACTACACTACCCAGTATTTGCTGCTTTCCTACACCAGAAGACCAGATACAAAAGGCCAAACCAGTCTTCAGAATGTACTCGACTTAGCTTACACTGTATTTTTGTTGGAAGCACATTAACTTGAAAATGTAGCCCTGACAATGAGAATGGCCATCCACAGAAAATTCGTATTTCCTTCTTAAAGATGAGAAAAATTGGAGTTAATTCCGTAAGATTGCTAACATCTGAAATAAAGTCAAAAGGCCACTCACTTCTCCTACTACACACTCCAAGTGTTGCAAAATATTTAATTCTTCAGCTTCCTACAATTCATTAAATCTTAGGCAAACAGTTAGCTAAGAAAACCTAATACAGAATGGCTTACATTTAGCAAAGTAACATGAAAGAGCAAACAGGATCACACAGTGGAAAGGATTAGACAATCATAAATATAAGTCACACTCTCTGAGCTGCTTATAATAATTCACTGCTTTGAAATTAACAAGTTCCCAAGAGAACTTCTATTCTTACCTATTAAAAAATAGTTTTAACTAAAACTTGCATACTTGTCAAAAGGTGAACTGGAAGAAAGATTGCTTTGCCCACGCCTAAATATCAGTCTTTTCAGCCTGTAGGAATTTTAATTAAAACTGTGAAATTAAAATCAGTTCACACTTAGACATCCACTTCTAAAACAAACATTACTACCTCTCACTGTGTTCTCAATTATTTCTGTCCTTCTTACAAAAAGAAAAAAGAAAAAAAAGACAAAAAAAAAAGCAATAACCTTCCAAAACTCAAAGATATGAATGCTCTTAACCAGTACTGAGGAAAAGGAGAAAACAGGAAGGGAATCCAAAATCTCCAAAATCAGTTTCTTCTCTGTTTTACACTCATGCTTCAGTGCTCAACTTTCACTTAAGCTTCAGTTACACACTGGTGATACTGCAGGTCATTTTCGTCCTGTGTAACAGCTTGGCTTGATACATGCCACTACAGCTAAACTATTTCTGGGGAGTGTCAGATACATTTTGCTCACTTTCATGAAGTATGCTTCAGTTTGCATTCCCAGTCAGCAAACTCAAAGCTAAAATGCTAACAACAAGAGTAATCTAGACATATGCAAGACTGAAATCAGGCTGAAATTCAGGAAGCCACCTTGCCAATCCAAAAACTGAGCATGAAAAAGTAGGAAAATGTAGGAACTTCTTGACCACAGACAGAAGCAGCAATAAGGAGGCAGAACTGCTGACTCACATAGATGAGATGGTAGCACACCTGACCATTCCACCAGCTTTGAAATCACCACAAAAAGGTGGATAGGGCAGTTCAAAGCAACAAGAAAGCTACAACACTGTGCTGGGAAGCACAGAACAGTCACAACTGATTCTGAAGCAATGTGCAGTCAAGATGCTATAATAGCATCCCATTACTCTACTCCAGGTAGTAGAAAGCCATATTTGCCTTTATGTTTTCTATTTCAAACTATCTGTCATTAAAAGAATAAATGAACCAAAAGAAACAGCAAAATGAAGAACATAATTCTCTACAGAGAGGCTTTTTGGACAACGGATATATCTGTTGCAGGCTTTCACAGCTGTTGAAAGGAAAATACAGATCCTAAATTCAGTACTTGGAAGAAGCCAAGACAAAATAATTCTTCTAAGTTGTTTGTCCTTATAAGGATTTAGGAAGCTTTAATTTCCAATAAACATTTTATTTTGAAGATAACATTCACTTGGCAAGACAGTGATTTAGGCCCATCAGCGCATGACAAAAGAACTGTGAAGCAGCAGCATCTGGAACACTGCAAGGGACGATGAGGGCCCTGTGTGAAATACCTATTTGCAATTTTGCAACATTTAATGCAACACTTTTGACAAAAATAAACCACTTATAAAATTAAGAAATGTAACATTCATTAAAATGTAATTTTAATGGTTCCACCATGGTTCCACCTCTCCTATGCCTATTTAAGAGCTGACTGCCACTGAGGAAAGATCTCTTCCTGGAGATTGCTCTTTGTGCAGTTTATTACAAGCCTACAACATTGGTGAGCATTTTTCAATGATTATTTTTTCATCATGATAATCCTACTTAGAAGGTAATAAAAGTGGTCAATCAGAGGTTCAGGCCGCGATCAACGGTTCCCATACAGATGTTCACTGAGTAGTGGTCAAAACCCACATGTTTCTGAATACAGAAAGTTGAACGTGCACAAATGCCTTCCTGAATACCTACCAACAGCACCCATGCTCTTAGCTCCATCCTCAGGAAATTCACACATTGTGCTTATTAACAGCCAACCAGGAATTCCCCTCCACTAGCACTAGTGTTAGGCTCCTTAAAGAGGCAAAACTTGGATAACACTCAAGCAATTAAATTATTATATTTTTTTTTCATCTAGCTTACAGGATTATTTTTTAAGACTGTAGGCATGCCAAAGAAATCAAATATATTTCAAATCTAGTTAAAGTAAAATAATTCCATCTATTCAGAATTATAAAACATGAAAACAAAAATACTTTTATTTTTAAGACTTGTGTTTCAATTCTGGCTCATTTCTTTTTGTATGTCCTTTTGTACAAACATTTAGTCAAAACAATTTGCTATAATTATTTCCTGATCATCATTTTATAAGGCGCTGGCAGAAGCCCTCTAAGCAAACCAAGAAAAAACAAACAACAAAAACAATAAAGCTAAATAGTAAAGTCAAGGAAATTATCTGAAACAAAATGATATAATGCTGATTATCCCAAGTGGGATGCCAAATAAAAAAAAGCGGCCATACCCTCTAGCTGGTAACGTAAGTACAGAAGATAAAGTAATTAAGTTTGAAAAACTAGTTAAGTAATGAAAGGGCACAACAATAAGCCTTTTTCAAATGACAGAAGGAATAGAAGACATGTTACTGGATTCCTCTGGGGTCAAAAAAGATAATCAGTGCAAACACGAAGACTCATAGGAGCGAAAGCCCAGCAGAACAAGAACCCGCCTCTCCTCATCTGTTTTTAGACCTATGCACTGAGGAAAAACTCTGGAGATCTCCCATACCACAATCCCCTTCTAGTGGCAAAGAACAAGTTTGTAAAGTGAAAAATAATGGACTGTGAGAATCAAATTCTGAAAAACTCAAGAATCAAAAACTTGCTGCTAACTGCCATTCCTGAATTCTCACTTCAAACAGCCTCAATCTTGTAGCACTGAAAGACCAAAGATAAAGAACAGGAGTTTCTGAAAAGGGCTCAAGGGGACATTCAGGAAACAATATATCAGCTAGGTTCAACATTTGTACCAGAAAAATATGTAAATTTCTCCAAAGGAAAGAATTATTGGGCACGCATAATTCCATGCAGCTGTTGAAAAGAAAAACCACATTTCAGGCTGTTGTTCTTTGAAAGGCTCCACAAGCACTGCAAGAAATCACAGCTACAACCCACCTGGAATTCCAAAAGACATTACACACTTCTCACAAAAGGGTACAATGAAATTGGGGTCTCCTAAACAGGCACTGCCATGGCAAATAACCTGACCAGCTATTCCTTAAAAGTAGCCAACAAATAATTTGAATAAATCGGTGGAAGTCCCAAGAATCTGTGCTGGTGACTGTGCTGTTCTGTAGTTCTGGTTGTTCTGGATAGGAAAGATGAAGACTGACCACCAAAAGCTGCCAAGGAACATCAGCGATACAAAGATATAAAGAGGTAGGCAAACTAAAAGCAAGCACACAGGAAGTAGGGGATTTTGAAGCTGACTACTGTCATGCAGGAATGAGATGTGCTGGTGCAAGAGCAACAGTACAACAGTCAACCAGAAAAATTTCAGCAGTAAAAGCAATAAACGCTTTTAGAACCACACCATTATTTAGTTTACTGTACTAACCTATAGGGCACTCTTGTCCTTAGTATTTCTGAAGTTTCCTCCCTCCTAATCTTCAAGAAAGTCATTAGGGTTAACAAAACATATGGAGATGCTTTTAGGTGAAGAACAAGGGTGGCTAGAACTCTTCAGCACACAAACAGGATTTCTAAGGGAATAGCAGATGCCAAAATAACCCTGAGTAATAGGGAAGGTCACCCTGGAATGGATGGGCAGACTAAATGCAGGAGTGCACCAAATGAAATCAGAATGAAATGAGTGAAAACCAAGCTGGTGAAAGTGGTTTGAGATTGCTGGCTTTTACTTCCTCCAAGAATTCCCTGCCTCAGAGGGGTGTTTTTCTATGCCTCACAGGGATGTGATTCACTCAGGAATATCTTGATATGTTTGCCCAGATACTACAA